TGAATGGGATTGGTTTATATATGAAGCGATAAATTGCGATATGATCTATTGAAATATAGTTGTTTATATTATAATAGCAAGACATTGGTATTTGGAAATATGATATTTGCACACTGTCGTATCGTTACAATGTATGATTTGGTGGAAATTTTAGTCAGAACGTTTCACCGAAATGGAAAAAGATCACGAAGAGGAATGTGAACGCATGCAAACGGCTATTGCTGATAAGGAGAGTGCCTTGAGCGTTGTGAATACAGAATGCACGAATGTGAGTTGATGATAACAATTTATGCATTGGATATTAAAATTGTGCGGATGGATTTTTTATGTGTATATGTAGGGTTCGGGAAAAGAATAGGCGCCGGTTCCCTAGCAAATACGCTGAATTGAGGGAAGTCATCCAATCTAATTAATTGGCTCTTTTAATGAGTGATATTATACATTACCTGGAAAATATCGCTCATTAAAAGAGCCAATTAATTACAGCGTTTACATTATTATTAGTAAATACAATTAATTACAGCATATACATTATTATATGTAAATTTATCGCATGTTCCCCTTCTAGCACATTCTAGGATTCTAATGTAAGGTATTTATGTTTTTTGAAGGAATCTACTTGGTTGATTGATATGTAATTGTAGTTCTTTGTATTCTATGGAGGTTGTGGATGACAGTCGCTTGTTATCAGTGAATTTTAGCTGACGAAAGCACTCGAGGAACGCAATCGACAGATCGATGAAAAGGAGAAAATGATTCGCGAAGGGCGTGAAGAAATCGGGGAGGTGGTCAGGAGACTGACAGTAATGGAGGAGAAAGCACGACTTTTGGTTCGTTTTGTGTGTAGTTATTAGGCGATGTTGGTGATTTTGCATCATTTGTTTGGTTATTTCGCAAATTTGATTTGAGAATATTATATGTAAACCTGAGTAGTTGCATTATACTCCGAGAAATTTCCAATTTTTGAATTATTAATCAGTAAGNCAAAAACAAACAGATTTCAGAATTGAACGAAACAATTCGAAATGTGAGTCGAATGATTCAAAAGTTTTCGCTTGATCAGTTTTATTTCAGTGGTTCATAAGCATGAAGGAGGATATTTTGAACAGTTATCTGTATTGATGATTTTTAATATGCCAGTTGATGGACGAGTAATGAAGCGAAGTAATGGCAACTGTCATAATCTGGTGAATATGTATCAAATGAAATAGACGAGGATACTAGGCGTTAGCTTGTCGGCATTAAGGGACTGAGAAGAATGAAAGATATTCTTAGGATTAGCGGATTTTATTGAACTGTGGTGT